AGTCGCTGAAGGATTTAGCGAGCTTAGGGAAAGGAAGGACTCCGACTTCTGCAAAACTAGATGTTAGAGGGGTATTGTGCTTCTGGTGGTTTGTATTGGCGCGGGTTAGCAGGTTTTGGTCAAAGATTGCAAAGAAATGATCCAATCTGACGACTTCTGGTTGTCGCCTGGAACCAGCTGTTGTCTGCCAAGTCCGGTACAGCTTCTCGAAGCTTGAAAGACCCAAAGGCCTTGCAGGTGACATGCAGCTTATTCCGCCGAGGTGACTGGAGGGTTTGAGAATTTGAGACGTCACAAAACGATTTTGCTAGGTCCCCAGCATCCCTTGACAAGCGCTTGTTCATTGATGCTCACATGAATAGGTGGCAGTTCATCATAAAGAAAGTGCGTCAAGCTACTGAAGATGGGGCAGGGCAAAATGAGGTCCTCCGTGGTGACAATTTCCTTTGGAGATTTCTCGTAACGCTCTCCATCGCTCTCCCTTGCCAAGGCCCCATGTCTGGTTTGAGGTGCGCACTTGATCGCAATGTGTATTTGTCAAACCCTGATGTTCACTTACGCCCCCCCTTCTGCAAGGGCTCGCAACAAGCGAGGGATGCTCTTCCATGTCCAGGTGTTGTTGTGATTGGGGCTGTCTAGTCGCCTACTGTCGCCTAGTCATCCAAGAGTTGACAGCAACAAGTCCGAAGGAACGTAACCTGAGTGCAACCGAACACAGCCTGAGTAAACTCCTTCTTGCTGAGTGGTCCGACGATGGGAGCTACCTCAGGCAGGTTCGAACGCGTGGAGTTTTGGAGTTTCCCAATCGATCCGGAGGTCAAAACAACAATCCACCGGGCACAGTCCACGGGCACACGATGTTGATGAGGAGGACGAGGACGAGGATGGTCATCACAATGGTGATGCTGATGAAATTGATCGTAATGATAGTAATGATGTTACACGGTCGGGGTAACGGTCGAACACGTGCCTCGGCTATCATTGTTATTCATTATTGCGGTCAGTTGACAACGGAGATGCTCAAACTTCCGGGCAAATGCATCCAAACTGTATGCCACCCTTGTACGCTCCCCACAAACATAAACAATGAGGAACATCCCATTACAGCCATTAGCTGGATGCACGTGTGCTTCCGTTAGCCACCGCGACATTTTTTTTATTCCTGCGATAAAGCCTCTAAACATAGCCCGGTGGTGATGGTGAAGACGAAGGCGATGAGGATTGTATAAGGTGATGAGGTAATGACGCGCAAACTTCCGCACAAATGCATCCAAACGGCATGGGCACACCTACTTGCAAAAACATGGACCAGGTGTGCCTGTGTCCTTGAACACTTGTGACCACATCTGCAAACAAGGAAGGTGTTTTGGCTGGGAGGCCATTGCAAGTAGGTTGGAGGCCATCTGAGTAAGGTCACTGAGCAGGTTTTGGAGCACATCACGGAATTCAGAAGTCCGCATGAAAACTGAACATCCAAGATACGAACTGGAAATCCTCCGCGAGTGGAGATTTGTCCGTGCCGGTTAGGGTGCCAAACTCACTTGCCAAGACCTCTTTCGCTCGCTTCACCAAAGCCTGCATCAGTCTCAGGTCGCAGGTACTGAGCTGATCGAATTTGGTGTTTGCAGAGAGGGTACCTGGTCAGTACCGTTTCATTCGTTTCAAAAGAATATATTTCAATTTTGATCAATTTTGTATCTTTCCGGTTGCAACCCGACGTGAAACCAAAGTAATGGCATCCTCCAATAGGTAGCAAGTTGCGGGAAGTTGTTTGCACGAGGCACGAGTTTGACCCATGTGAGTTGTCTTGGCTGCCCGGCAGGCAAAGGAACTGAAAATTGTACAACTCAATGCTGGAAGTATAGTCTAGGATGGCGAATAGTTGGGGGTGGGGTTCGTTTTGGGGGATGGTGGCTTCGTTCGGAAGTCCGAAACAAAATTGTACCTCTCAAGCGGACTCAAGCGATTTTGGCACCGCACCATGTTGAAACTTGAACAACATGTCGCTAGGAGGTTAGAGAGGAAGAGAGAGAGAGGTGTTGGGACACCATCCCCTCTTGTTCCCGAATGCGTGACGAAGGGTTCTCGTTTAACTCTGGGGGTCTGGGGGTAGAACATGGTAGAACCTTGTTCGCGACTCGTTGTCTGAGCGACCACAACCGTTTGGAGAGAGTTTTGGATGGAAGCATGATGTGTCAGATTCGTGTGAAATAGCGAGGAAACGTGTGGAAACGTAAGATGTTGAAGTGTGGAGGATGATTTCACTGCACAGGCGCAGCGTTTTGTGAGATGGGGAGTTTTCTGCGCAGTCACATTGGGATTGGCGTTTGGAGAGTGGTGTTTTTGGTGTTGGATGTGGCTGTGACATTGGGCATTGCGTTTCAGGGTGTTGCATCGAAGCTGTGTTTTCGTGGCAAGTCTCAGCTGACATGGCGGTTTTGGTGGATGGGAGTGTGCTCGGAACGCGTCGAAGTCATTCCAAATGTGTGGTGTGGTGCAAGTGCAAATTTTGATAATATTGCTGAAGCTCACATGATATGATATTGTCACTTTTCGTAGCAGGCGCAGAACTGTGCAGGTTTTGAGGTGTGGAACGCAATTTCGTGGCAGGTGCCGGGAATCATGAGGTTGCGGGGCGCGGCGGCGGTCACATTTCGTGGCAGGCGCAGTAATTTGTGTGTGTTGGAAGTGTGGACGTGCGAATGGAGGTGACTGTCGCTGTGACATTGTTGTTTGGAGGAGCTGGAATCGCGAAACTGCTTGGCAGGGCAGCTGGATGTGTTTGGTCCGATGGGGCGTCCCTTTTGACTTTTGGAGGAAGTCTCGTACGAAACGCTCGTTTTGCAGACTCGAAGTGTGAGTTTTTGAGGAAGTCTCGTACGAAACGCTAGTTTTGGAGACATGAGGAGGCTTTAGTAGTAGTGTCTTACAAGAGTGTCCCACAAGAGTGCCCGACAAGAGTGTTCCATAAAAGTGTCCGGCAAGAGTCCTACAAGAGTGTCCTACAAGAGTGTTCCACAATACTTTTCCGCAAGAGTGTCCCGCAAAGTGGCCGACACGAATTGTCCGACAAGAGTGTCCCACAAGAGTGTCAAACATTATTTGTGCGATCTTGATCGATCTTGTTTATTTGCTTTCGAGTACGTGTTTGCATTCGGGTTCGTGGGTTCCATCTTGTTTCGCTTTCAACACGTGCGAGACTCATTCCCGCCTCCTCGGGCGCAATGGGGAACTTGCTCTGGGCCATGGTCTTCCTGGGGCGAGAAGGTCGCAAAGGTGTGATTCTACGAACTCATGTACTTCCGAAAGGCCAATGCGATCGCGGATTCCAAGGGAAGAGAGTTGGTCATGTCTTTCCAAGCTTGTTATCAATGTTTGTCTTGTCTGTGCAGGATGCTTCAGGATGCTTCTTGTGCTTTGTAGATCTGTGTTGTTGATGGTTGAGGGCAACATGATGGAACCACTCCGGTGAGTAGCCAATAAGTGTGCGGACAATCCTCCCGGGTTTGTCTACGCTTTTTCGCAGCTCTCCAACGCCGAACAAATCGGTCTGCAACTGTGACCAAAACAGGCCGGTGTTTAAGGCGGTGCTGAACTTGGGCACAAACTTCAAACGCCTCAATCAACAAACCTTGAAGCCTTGGCCTGGATCTTGGGAAGTTATTTTGCAAAATTTGGAATCCTGGAGCATTCAAAAACAAACTTTGGCTCCATCTTTGTGCTCCACTGTCTCTAAGTACCGCCAACATCTACAGTCGTTCCGGCCCGACCTGCAAACACAATGTCTTTGATTTGCGATTGCAAGTCTGTCTACATGCCCCTCCGGCTGTCAAGCTTCATGAACTCCTCAGGTATGGGAACTGTTTTTGACACAGGAATCTTCCGAAAGATGGAGCCATTGTGGTCTGTTCACGTCATTTCGCAGTTCTGAGGAGACAAAATTGGATTCAGTTCGCAAAGTCGAGCACGGATTTCAGGCAGTTGAACCTCAGCGCCATCTTTCAAGCATGCCTCTCTGAATCTTTCCGAACAAGCGAGGGCAAACGTGCGGACTCTTTTCCTTTGAGCACATCTTCACGGCGCAGGAAAACCTTTGTTTACCGAGTGTTGAGACGTTGGAAGTCCTCAAGGTTTCCTGTTTTCTGGATATTACTCTTTCATACTGTTTCCTCTATGAACCCGAACACATCATTTTTAAAGCCAAGAGAATGTTCCTGAATGTGGAACATGTGGCAAAGGCACAAAAGAGACTACATAAGAATGATATGTGCCCCAAAAAGGACAACCAAGTGAACAAATGAATCAAAACATATGGAAAAACACCAAAACGCAACAAAACAGCTCGAACTAACGGGCCACTGGCTGGCGGGACGTGTTGTGGTTGAGCCGCGCCTTGTCTTGTTTGCCTTTGGACTGGTCAGGCACTGGCTGATGCGCAGTCACGCTAGGGTGGCTTGTGTGCTGTTGTCTTGTTTGTTATCTTGAGTAGTAGATTAGAGGCCATCGCTAGTAGGTTGGAGAACATCGCTCGTAGGTCGGAGGCCGGCGCTGTTGGGTGTTGCCAGTGTGTGGTGTCAGTGGCATGGTTTGTTGTTTGTCGCCTTTGTCCAGCTACCCCAATCCTATCGGGTGGGGAAAACATCTGCAGAACATACGATAAACCTTTCACAAGAACATCCCGACGACAATAATATGTTCTTTCAATTCTTTCTACAATTCCTTAGTTGTTTCAAAACTTGGATTTCTGATTTTGTCTTTGAGGAGTTCAGCATTTTCGTACTTAGGAGAGAACAAACGATTCTTGCAATCCCGGGAACCTTCCTGTTACGTCTCAACGTGGGCGGGGAGGCCAGGAAATCGCTCAACTAGCCCAGAGCCCAGCCAGGACATGCTACACCCTAGTGCGCATTCAAAGGCCTGGTGGCCTGGTATCAACATGGGCAAAGCCACCGCACCAACTCGCAAGAAGCAAGAAACATGTTTTTTTGTGTTGACTCTTTGCAGGGCATAATGGACTCGAGATGGTGCAGTTTTATGATAAGGTAAAAAAAAAGGAAAAAGGACGCATCAGAAGCGTTGCAACTTTGCAAGCATGTTATGCAGGGCGCAGAATGTTGCAAGTGCGCTCGGCGCGCACGACTTTGGAAGTGAGGAAAGAAGGACATACTGTGTATGTCCAGTCCGGACCTACAAATTAACGGCCACAACTGGGGCAACCTTCAGTATAGCATCGCTGTCGGTTGCAACCATGAGATCCTCATTGTCCACTTCGCTCGATGGTAGGGAAGCGGTTGAGCACACTGGGCCGTCAGACACAACAGTAGCCATAACTACTGCATCCTCTTCAGCCGTGCTTGGTGTCTTGTCATTCTGCACGTCTGCGCTGGACATCTGGGATTCTTCGTGGAAGCCTGAAAAACAAATCGTCCGAAATGCTCTCCGACGCAGTCGTCTGTCGCGGGATGTCACCGGAGTTTCCTACTTCGACCTACAAGCTTTGAATACTAATAGCTTCTTGTTACGTTCCTAGTAAGGCTCCTAGTAGCGATGCCCGGAGCCCCTAGTAGCGTCCTTGCTCCTAGTAGTAAGGCCAGGAGCCCCTAGTAGCTTCTTCTCCCCAGTAGCAAAAGGATGCAACCTTCTTCTCCCCAGCAGCTTCTTGTTACTTGTAGCGATGGCCTCCAACCTAATAGCGATGGCCTCCACCTAGTATAGCGTCCTTGTCATGTTTGAACAACTTCCGCCTGAGAGGTTGACCCTCCTTGATCCATACCAGTCAGAGCCAATGACATCAGTGACCAAAAGGGCGATGGCAGCGTCGATGCGTCCAAGATCCATAGGATTCAATTGCTGCAAACGCTCTTCTGTCTTTTGACCTCAAATCTTGTAAAAATTGTAGCCAAATCAACACCGTCTATCACCAAAAAGGACCATTCATATCGACCAAACTCAGTTTGACTTCGGTTACACTTGGGTGATAGGACATTGAAACGGTTGAAACTGGCTTGCGACATCTTGCGACACCATATGAGAAACGTGTTGGGATCACACAAGTCGCATGAAAATGGTCAAGCTTGTGCTTCTGTATCATGACAGTTTTCTCTGGTCCAAACAATGAAACCCACAAACTCCTCGTGGCATTCCGGAAAGGCGCGCAGGTTTGGGCAGTGCGGCAGCGACTCTTAGATTGCCTTCTATGCGCGCAGAGTGCTGGCAACTTTGGAAACCTCTTGACGAATGACACTTTTGCGCGGTTCGGTTGAGAGTTCCGAAAGCCAAACAAATGTCTCGAACTTGGTCCCTTCAAAGCGTCTCTACTTGGCCCCTTTGGCCCGAGATGCAACTCACACCCGAAGGCTCGACATGCACCGATTGGATCATTTGGCGAGGTCTCTCCGGTTTAAGGCCGCTCACGGCATCCAAGTCGGTCGTGCGCATGACACAAAGCAAGCAACGCCAGAAAGGCAAAGCACAGCACCTATAAGTTTCATAAATTGGAATATCCCGGCTTCTTCAAAGTGACTGTTTTGAAGTCCATCAGTGACCTCTTGGAGTGATCTTAAGCATCAAAAGGTAACTTTGAAGAAGCCGATCGACAACGTGTGAAGCTTGTGGCTACAAGCTTGCTGCTTCGCTCACAACTTTTTCCAGGTGCGGGGACACGAAGGCAGAGTCTTTAGGGTGAGAGCTTTACTGCCCAGACTTGACTATTACAGTACTGTCTTGCCAGTGGGCAAAGTATGGCAAAGTAGTATACCCAAGAACGTGGAATGACATGGAATGACTAGTAACAAGATCTTTCTTGCCCACTTACCAAAAAAACATCCGGACGCCCAGTTTTTGGAAGCTTACATGTGCAAGCTCACCTTTATAGAAACACAATTCCATCTGGTGATTCGCGGCCAGGGCCATGCTGACGAGGCACACTCCAAGAGCTGTTGGGCGGTCTTGGTCAACCTCTTGGCTACCTGAGCAGTTTTTTTCGAAGCCCCAAATGGTTGCCTGTCATGGGTCCATCTGCATCATTGAACGCAGAAAAGAGACATCCCCAAAACATGGTACAAGGTGGTTTCAAGGAGGCCTTAATCCACCTTGAATTCATTGTTTATCTCTTGTCTTTTTCCAGTGCCGCCCCCGGCCGCCTGGCCTCCTGCGGGTTCACGCTGATCAGGTCCAGGATCCGGTAGGTCACAATACCCTTCTGGCAAAGGAACTGATTTGCCAACACGCAGCCCAAGATGCTGGCCATAGAACCAAGACCCACCACGATGCCAGCCAAGAGGACGATTGAGATCACCTCTCAAAACTAGACATCGAATCTAACCTAACCACAAGGAACAAGCCACATCCTGCCAGTCAAATTTCTCTTCAAGATGGCAGTGAGTAGCGGGCCGTTCCTCTTCGTTTCGGTAGATTGCAGGCGTTTGGTTTCCAGAGTCAAGCACGTCCCGAGCAACCGGAAGCACGAAACAACTCTGGAGAATGTAAGCATGGAACACCTCATACAAATGTTAAGTTCCCTAAAAATCTAGGAACCAAATCATCAGTGCGAGCGCTTCTTCAAGGAAGCTTCCCCTGCCGCCCCTGCCGCCCGCCGTCCTGCATCCTAAGTGGTAGTTATTTTAGCTACCTAGCTACTAGGAACAAGTGCATCGCTTCTAGTAACAAGTGCCTTACTAGTAGTAACAATGTTTGCTATTAGACACAATATATAATTAGAATCTAATTTAAGCTACTAGCGACTCCCTAGCGACCTCCTATAGCGGCCTACCCCGGCCCCCCCGCTGTCGAGATCCATCCACCAAAAAGCAAAAGCACAAAACAGCATCCGGTATGGGAAAGGTCCTTTGGGACCCATTTCGACCCTTGCTGCGCCTCATGGAACACTTCAAGATCTTCTGCAGCTGAACTCTCTGCTTTTGGAGTAATACTGATCAACATCAGCAAGATCACTGAAACCCAAGTGTCCAAGATGTTCAGCAAAGGTAGCTTCCATGGCCATGCCATGACCTGCAACAGCAGGAATGCAGCAATGATGAAGATTCCGCCTGCGAAGGAGAGACAGTGAAGTGATTTCTTCACTTGACAAGTGAACCTATCATTTCCAAGGATGGCCAAACGAGTGATCCCGAGTGAACCAAGTGCAATGACATCATCAAATATTTGCAAATGACAAGCGGTGGTGGTGAAAACCTAGTTGTGAGAATCTTACTCAACACAATTCAAAACAGCTAGTTTCTGCACAGGTAATGCACTCTGAATGCAACACATGTTGGAAAACCCGTAGTCTTAGCTGCCAAACATTCAGATAAAGCAAATGGACCTTACCCACTCTCGCACGAAACACTTTGCGTGACCTTAGTAGAGCTTGCACGTTGCTCGTGGCAATATGTTGACACCTGCTTGCACGCGCTTCCGCAGACTTGTGGCGGATGCGTTCGGCCACGACCCCTTCTCTCCGGCCACGACCAAGCAGGCCAACCAGGGCACTGCCGAACCCTGGACGGCCACCACACCCGCAGGACGACTGAGGCCGACATTACCCCCTCCACCGGTTTTGCCACCACCTCTGGATATGTCTGCAATCCTCACTTAATTGCTTGAGCAAGCTCCCAAAGGTATCTGCATACTCGCTTGCAAGAAGCCCGGCAAAGCTTCTAGGAAAGAATACATTCATGTGAACAACCAATGTTTTTTACCACCGGTTTTGATCCCGGATCGGGTGTCAAAATGTTCGCCGAAGAATTGCTACAGTGATATAGTTTAAATAGTTATGAAATTGTTTGACAAACAAGATCAAACAAGATTGGCTTAAACATGTCAAATCTCACTAAGTTGTCACCGGTTCTTTCCATACCGCGACCGCCTGTGGTCTGTGCAGGCGGGAAATCTGTCGCTGCCACCACACAAAGAGAGAGTAAAGGCCCACGCAAGAGCAATGGCACCCCAAACCTTAGAATGACCAAGCAATGGTCACAACAGCTCAAGAATCGTTTCTGGCATAAAGAATTTGTCGAACAAAGATTGATGTCTTAAAGAAATTCAGAACTAAGCCACCACCATCGGTCCATCCTGAAGCGCGCAAACAGGAAGGCCACACTCTTCACCGCGTCGAAATTTGAAGTGCTCCATCTGGGAAGTTTGCACACAGCCCAACTGCACATGGCGAGGAAGCTGATAACACCACCTGAGAGGAGGTAGGAATAACACCTAACACCACAGATTACACCACAGTTCCATCTGTTCAGAATACGGTATATAACAGATTCAAACAAAAAACGTTTTTTTCCTTTTTTTTTTTTTCGGCTCTATGTGTACATTCCAAGCGACAAGTGAGCAACAGGATACCAGCCAGCAACATCATGGAGTGCTCCCCACTGCCACACAGAACGCCCGGATGCTTCAAAAGACTTTGCAGCCCGTTGGGGTGGGTGTAGCACATCAGCGGCTGCAAGGCCAAGGCTGACCTTAGAGCGCAGTAAACAGCGCATCGCTACTAGCAACAAGGGCATTACTACTAGTAGCAAGAGGTCGATTGAGTTCAGTCAATTGAACAAAAGGGAACACGTCGCACAAAGGAACACGAACATCGCATGGTTCACGTCAGGGAGCATGGTGCTGAAACCCACTTGGATAAAGTGTCCTGCTGTATTCTTTGTCATGCTCCTTTTCCACTTCCGCCAGCACCGTTGGGAGGCAAGAAAACAGAAGAATAACCAAAGAATCCCGGCTGGAAACACGAGGATCGTAAAGACGTAGCGCAAAGGGGTTGGGCCACTGGCCAAGCATGAAAAGGAGAAGTCTTCAATGTCGAGCAGAAAGATCCGTGAATTCCACGAAACTGCCTGGAAAGATCTGGGCCACTTCACCGTCATCAAACCAAAAATGGCCAGAGATTGTACCAAAGCCACTGTCACACTCGCAGACATTCCCACAGCTTCCCTCGCTGTTGCCTTTGCGTTCACATGTGGATTCATCAAATAGTATGCCGCCGTCAGCGCCAGCAGGAAACCGCAAACAGCAAGCATCCATAAAACGATGGTCCATGTGTTGCATTCATGGCACGTGTCATCAACCCACGTTGTGCTGGCTGGGCATTCAGCACATGGGGTGACCTCACGACCTCCAGCACATTCTCCTGGCTTGCCCCCAGGGCAATGCTCCTCTGTACCACACTTGAACACTTCTGTGGGTTGATCTTTTGTAGAGAAGAAGCCTTTCTTGAGCACGGGGGTGTAGTCCTGTGCATCACGCAGGAAAAGATCTACGCGAGCCTGGAAACCTTGTTACGCAAAAATAACTCATCCTATAAGACCATGTTATGAGAAACAAGAGTTGCCATGTGAGAAACATTCTGACGCTCGTTGGTGTGAAGTGTGAAGCCGCCTGCCGTGATTTGACACCTGGTGGTGTTGTGCGGGCCACAATCTAATTCTGCTCTTGCTGACTTCGCTCATGTCCCTTCCTCCAAGGATGCTACTAGGGGCTCCTGGCCATTCTTACTAGGAACAAGAAGCTACTAGGAGCAAAGGGCATCGCTACTAGGAGCAAGGACGCTACTAGGGGCTCCAAATGGACCGTCCAAGACTTCCAAAAGTGACGAGGGTTTTGCGGCCACGAGGTGTCCGAAGTGCCAAGAGGTGGTCCGCTACACGGGAGGGGGTTTGGGGAGGAGGACGCACGTCCGCCCCAGCGCACAAAGCCACAGCTTTTGACCGCGCTAAAGTGGCAGCACGGCACAGATTGAGACTCTAGCCATCACCCACTACTAGGAACAAGTGCATCGCTTCTAGTAACAAGTGCCCTACTAGTAGCAACAAGAAGCTATTAGGAGCAAAGGACGCTATTAGGAGCTAGTTTCACAACGGGACAACTCCTAACTGACAACTGACAATCAACTGGGAAGACAACGGCCTCAGTCACAACGGCCTCAGCGGACTTGAAAGCACAGTGCTCACAACACTGGCCACTGCAGGCAGCACAGTGCACCACACTGGCCAGTTGCTCATGGAAGCCCCCCACAGGCCACGAAAAGCCAACGGAAGCCACCAAAAGCGTTGAACAATCTCAAAAAGGCGTTGAACAACTCCTAAAAATACAAGTTTCGAGTTCCTGTTGTGCCTGGCCAGTGATGTATCTTGATCTAAGGTGTCATGCATTAATCTATTCTCTGGTGCGGCTTCTTGCAGTTCGTTGACTCTGCCCTTTTGAACCTGTTTCTACTTTTGATAATCTTCACTTGTGAATACTATTTTCTAGAAGCCTCTCCTCCTGTTCTTTGATACTGAGATTCGAGACCCTCTGACATCCTCTGATTCTGCTCTATCGAACTGCCCGATTGCACCCCCCGTATAGCATTGCCTTCTGCAGTCCGGACAGTGCGTTCTGAGTTCTGCTGTCTTACTCACACGCCCACAAGCACGCACAGGACAATTGCAATATTCAGTCACTTGAAAACTTCTCTTCCAAACTGAATGAATGACATTACGCTGACCCCCTTTGCTGCATTGACATTGCACATATTGTCGCAATTTTGCACCATTGTGCAACACTATGTGTACGTGCAAGTGACGATGACGACGACAACAACAACAACAACAACAACTACTACTACTACTACTACTAAATCCCCTCCCGGTCTACAATAAATAGACCAATTTGTGAGTCAAAAGTTGCGCACTCTGCACAAGCCTAAGCAAATAAGCTCAGGTCTTTGAAACAAGTCCAGGCCTGCCCAAGAACAGACTCGCCGCTCTTTAGCTCGCTTACTGTGGAACCAAAGGGGCAATGCAAGCCATCCATGCATGGGATACAATTCATTGTACCTCCATCGCCGGCATTGATGGTCCCCACATCGCAACCACAATCTGCAATCGACTTGGAGCCGAAACCCAGTGTGGTAGTGCCCGGCGGACATCGCTTGCATCCTGTACGTCCTTGTTCATCCTGGTACTCACCTCACTTGCATGTACTAGAAATGTCATACCCTGCATTGGTTTGGTTTCATGAATTTAAACTCAATCATCCGGCGACCCAATTTGACAAAATCATTTTTGCGAAGTCGCCAAAGCCACAGCGATTGCAGGACTTTTGTCCGCGCTGGTCTTGATATTCACCACTTTGACACGGTTCACACTTCAGAGAGGCCCCGGAGGGTTGGGCTGTTCCAGCTTCACAAGGAAGGCATGCGAACGTCAAGCCTTTAGGTGCAGGACAAACACAAGCTAAAACCACTGCTGTTGGGTTCCAGAACAATTTGGCTTACATTGTGTCAGACTGTCAGACCAAGAGCCCAAAAAACTGAGGGGTATCGTCGGGGAGGACGCACCACCTTCCCTGCCTTTTCTTTGTTAGAGAACACAGTTTCGTTGTTCTCTTTGAATTATCTGTTTATTCTTTCCTTCCTTCCTTACATCCTTGTTCACTTCTTTATGGCATTCTCTTGTCAGTTCCTTTCTTCCATACATTCTTCTTAGCCTGAGGATTACTGGTAGAGCTGTCCCATGTCATATAAGATATGCCACGAGTGACGACCTTGACCCATTTAAGCTGCCTCTCTCGTCCACCAGCTTGTCGGAGTACGTGCCAGACGGACATGCATGGCATGACAGGCCGCTTGGAAACCGTCGATCTGTCACGTACTGACCACTTGCCTCCTGCCAAAGAACCCGGCACAATAGGTTAAGTGAACACGTGGACATCTGCTTTGAGCAAACCAAGTTCTTTCCCGAATCCCCTCCCCTGCCGACATGAAGCAATTGAAAGCTGAAACATCACCAAGCGTCGTGATAGAGACCAAATTGAGCGTAGCACTGGGTGGGATCAGGTAGCCAGCTCTTCCACACGTTCTCATTCGCTCTGAGCCAGCGACATGCCACCTGCCAGTTCGAATCTCCTCGCAGAAACACGAAAGGACACATAACTTCTGCAACCTACTAGCAATGGCCTCCACCCTATTAGCCATGGCCTCCAACCTAATAGCAATGGCCTCCAACCTACTAGCGACGGCCTCCACCACATAACTTCTGCAACGAGGCTAATCAAACCATACTGTATTAAACTAACGCCAACCAAGGCGTGCACTGACAAGTCACTAGTGACACGCTTTAACAAGATGTGTCAAATCCAGTAGCAGCATCTTTCCAGTAAACTCATGTGTCAACTGTGCCTAGAAACTACCTGAATCCGCCTAAATTCTCATTCTGCCCAAAGCTGTTTTGCGATCGTGCGAAAATGCGGAAGCGCGATGCGCGGTGTCGTCCTGTAGCCAACTGGTCTCTGAGCATGTCATTCACCATCGGCAGATCAAGGATCAGCGCTCGGATCATGTCCTTGGCCGATGGAGCCAACTGGCCCAAGTCCTGGGGCATCTTCCGGGATTGACATTAATTTGAACAGACATAGGATAAAACGAAGGGAAGGACCTCTTTAATATTGCCCCCTTGATTAAAGGGACATTGTCCTTCCTTCTTCTCTCTATATTGAATATGTGTATATTCATGAAGCCATCGCATGCACTGAAACGAAAAACAAGTCCTTGCTCGTGTACTTGTCCACCGTCAAAGCGCTTGGCGAGCTCCGTTTGTCGCCGGCAGCAAAAGCTTGCCGATCAAAGGGCGGGAAAGCAATTTCCATCGGCTTCAAGTTGATGAATGTCGGATCTGGCACCTGCGAATGGCAAAGTCCAATGCATGAGTGCTGAAGAATGCCTTCCAGAAGTCGCAGCGCATCGAACGATGAAAGCTTCACTGCTTCACGGACATCACATTACCATACATTACCCCCTTTTCAAACCTTCCCAGGCGGTTTGTTCGTCCAGTCAGGCACCGTCCCGGTTTAATCTTAGGTGGGAGGTCATCGCTTCTAGGAACAAGCGCATCGCTTCTAGTAACAAGTGCCTTGCTAGTAGTAACAAGAAGCTACTAGTAACAAGTGCCTTACTAGTAGTAGGTAGGTTGGAGAAGTGATGTTGTAGATTCAACGGGCGTCCATTGAGACAACCCGCGCATCGACGGCGACGCACCCGGTTTCTGCTGCCAGGCACCCACCAGTAGAAAGTGCTCAGCACCTGCATGGGTAGGTTTGTGTAGGTCGACCAATCTTTGGCAACGGCTGGTGCCAATGGCATATTCCAAGCCGTGGCCTTTTGCATAGTTTCTTCCTGAGGTGGACAAACTCTAGCAAAATTGATCAAAATAGGTCAAAACAGTATCCTAATATGTTTTCTTACAACGCAAATACAACAACAAAGAAAACAAAAGGATCGCTTCAACGGGTCAGCTTCATAGTTCCAGCCATTTCCTCCTGTGAAGAATGGAACGCACAAGGAAGTATCCTCCTTAGCGAAGGCACTCGTCTTTTCGCTGACTTTTGTTTTCCCTTTTCTTATTTTTTTGTGACATCTTGTTCCGGTTTTCTTCTTCGTTTTCTACCTTTAGACCTCCACAACTTCGCTGCCCAAGCTTCACGGCAGGACGGCGGGTACCAGAAATATTCTTGAAAGCATTTCCCCCGTACTTCTCGCCCTGTTGGCCCAGTGATGATCTCCACCCCGTCCCAGTCCCCAGTGAGGTTTGCATAGAACTCCATGGCCTGGCGACAGATCCGTATTGCTTCGGTCCAGCGCCCTAGTCGCCTCTTGTTCCTAGCGATGCCCTTTGCCTGGGAAATCATCATTCTCGTCTCATTGCAGCGCTTGAGCAAACTGGTGTCCTTGACGAGTCCGAAGGCTGCGAAACGTCGAGAGTGAATCCAAAGGGAGCTATACAGACTTATCGGCAAGCTGATCGAGTGAGCTTGAAAAAGGTCCCACCAGTTGGTACTCACTAAAAAGATCTATACGTAGGGTTGGAGGCCATGGCTAGTAGGTTGGAGGCCATCGCTACTAGGTTGGCGGCCATTGCTTCTAGGGAGGAGGCCATCGCTACTAGGTGGAGGCCATTTGGAGGCCATCGCTAGTAGGGTGGAGGCCAATCCCATTAGGTTGGAGTTGGAGGCCATCGCTATACGCATAGTCTACAGTCATACAAGTCTACGATTGTTCTTCAGCCCGAATTCATAAGCGCCATCCCAAGCGTCTATGACACTGGGCGGCTGAAAGTACCTGGAAGGAGTTGTCCAAGAGACATTGAAGCCACGATAAAACTCCAAGATCAAGCCTGCGACAGGAATTGAAACCAACAGAATCTGTGACTTGAGGTGTGTTGAGCAAGCTTTTCCCGCAACGTGCAGTCATATAGGGATGATGAGCCTTGTCATGGTTGGCCTGCCTACAAATACCAAAGCCAATAGCATGGCAACAAGCTTCATGTGGGACAAGGCTTGAGAAAGGGATCCGCCTTCGGCATTGTAAGCAGCCTCTTGCGCACTGGCAGGCAGAAACATGGATGTCTTCCCAAAGTAGCCTCAGACACAAACACACATTGGAAACACACATTGGTGTGCGGATTTCAAAGTAACATGCACAAGTGCAAAGTAAATTGGCAAGAGACCCATGTTTCCCAGATTTTCCGGAGCTGTTTCTGTGAGATCACGTTCAATTTCTGCCCATGTGGCAGCATAGGATTCGGTCCATCCCTCGACGCAAATGTGGTTGTAAGTTGTCGTTGGCTTCGGCTCACACCCACGGTCCTTCCCAAAAGGGTTGGATGCATTTGTAATGCATACTGATACTCTCTGCCAACTGCGGTAATTTCACCTTTACGGAACGAAATATAGTAGCCTTCGACTGCGTTTACCAATCGCTTTCCCACAACACTTCGACCTTCGATTTTTGAGGTGCGTGACTCAAAGACATGCACGATCCCCAAGCCTCGATGTTGGTCGGTGTGAGGCATCCGGCAAGCGCATAGAAGCCATCCTAAGGTCAAACGCTGGTCCATGAGATGGAAGCCCTTTGAAAAGACGGGACAAGTCTCAGTGGCGAAAGAATAACCTTCCGGCCTACTTCAATGACAAACATATAAAAATTCAGGAGCAAAAAGAGAAGAGAAGAACTAGAAGACAATTGGCGGAGGCCATGGCTATTAAGTTGGAGGCCATCGCATGCCATCGCTAGGTGGAGGCCATCGCTTCTAGGGTGGAGGCCATTCCTATTAGGTTGGGGCGCTGCGGGTCATCCTTTGCAGCTGAGCTTCCACGGTGTTCCACCCGGGCCCTTGCTCGATGGCCTTGAACCCAAGCCGTTCCTCCAACAAGATCCGCACCATGGACGCTGTGACAAACCCTGCTGGCCACCCATTCACCCAAATCCTCAACTCACAAATTCGGACGAGGCCATCGCTACTAGGGGCAAGGACGCTATTAGTAGCTCCTGGCATTACTAGTAGCAAGAAGCTACTAGGTTGGAGGCCATCGCTATCGAAAGAAAACAAATTGCAAAACCCGTTCTGCAACTGTGCACTTTAGCTTTAGGGAGCCATGTTCCAAGTCCACAACTGCAGAACGAACGGAATCCAATTCCAAAGATCCCAATGGGATAGGTTGCATTTCCATTAACCAGATTCTGCCGTTTCCCTTCAGGAACTGCATCGGCCAAGCATGTGGCTTCTTGAGCATAGAGCGGAAGAATCAGGAAGTCCAACGAAAGGCACAACAGGACCACTAGGATCAGCCTGTCTTGACAAGCCATGGCCCGGAAAATGTTGAACCTTTGCCTATCACATAACCGTCTGGAGCCAAGATGTGCACATGTCGGTTTCCGCTTCATGTTTGACGAAAACTGTACGCATCACATCCTCAATGTGTCACTTGGGGCATCAAACTGGCAGCTTTGCTACTTCGGGGCCTCCAAGCACATACACTTTGCTCAAATCCTCAGGCTCGTTTGTGCCAAGAAGCAACATCATCGCGAGGTAGAAATCTAGACATGACCAAGGTCCTGGCCCCGAAAACATTAGGCTTTTCAGAAGCCCAGATGTGTCAAACTAAGCTATTGGACAGGACATGTGTTTTCCCGTTTCGGTAGTGTTTCGGTTTGATCTTGCTGTGTCGCCAGCCATGCAAAGTCAGTGGACGCAACATTATCCTTGCCTAACCAGCGAAATGTGCTTTCTTTTCCTTGCTTTCTTTCAATTTTTGCCTGGAGGGATGGCTACTAGTGACGCAAACAGTTCCTGGATTGTTGGTTAAAAAACACGAGAACAAGATAGAACAAGTATATAACTCTAAGTATACCAACATATTTCACACTTCGTCATATGACAGAAGGCGGAGCGGCGTGTCGACACCCACTTATTCGGTGTTAGGTCGTGATCGTGTCCACGACTCCACTCTGAACCGAGAGTGTCTATCTGTCTGGAGGATTTGGCAAACAAAACTTGAATCCTTTTGGTATGTTTCTGCGCTTCTAGGTTGGAGGCCATCGCTAGTAGGTTGGAGATTCCCTTCGCTATTAGGTTAAAAGAAACCTACTTGAAGGTAACTCAGGGACCGCCAGCCCCAGACACACACTGAGAAAACACAGACACACCGAGACGGCCTTCTGCATCCACAGCGAGGCCGACGCTCACGGTTCGAGCCAAGAAACCAAGCGTGCATAGCAGGACAAGGCTTCATTCCAATGACGGATATCTCATGATATCTGCATTTCATTGTATTGCATTTTTTGCCTCTAGGTTGGAGGCCACCGCTATTAAATTGGAGGCCATAGGCATGAGTTTTTTCCCTCTATATCTTTATTCTTTCAAAAATGGTCTCTCTCCAGCGATGCCGTCTATCTCCTTTCCGCCAAGGCTCGGGACATCCAAATCGCCGAGGTCGCTCCCTTCGGGTTTGTCGTTGGAGTAGATTGGCAGATTGGCATAACGCTGCTCGTGCCATGGGATTTTCTTCCTGACTTCACATCTTCCACATGGAAACCATCTACGTTCTTGTTCTCTTTGCGACATAAATCCTAGTTTGTCTCAGCCGATGCTGACTCGAAGACTTAAGGTCTTGAGGGGAACCTTTGTCCGAGCACACAATCAGTCAAAGGACTGTCAAAGCACTATAGACTGAAGCTTTTAAAGAGCCATTATTAATATACAGTTTGCATCAGTTTGCTATTATATAGGTTGGAGGCCATCACTATTAGAAACACAGAATAATCAAAACGGCACACCTTTGCACCTCCAGCACCCCGACCGATCTGAAAGCCTCACGGTGTTTTTGCCACTTCCGCAGATGCAATCGACGACATCCACCAAGCAATGCGAAGTCTTCTGCACGAGAAATACCAAGACCTCGGCTCCCAATTTCAACACAACGCAACAGCTTCCAAAAATCCACAAAAACGGAAATTGACCAAGCAGCATCTGAACCTACCAAGACAAGAGCTGTGGTGAAGTTCCCACAGAAGGAGAGGGCAGCCCCCCATGACCTCAAAGGACCGGAATCTCAAACCGATACCAACTCCAAGCTATCGCTCTTGGAGAATGACGATTTAAATCTTGCAGACTCCAGACTAACGAGATGACGATCTGAAGATCGTGCAGAATCTGAACTCTTGCTCCACACGATTCCACAGGATGTCTGTCATACTCCCAGTATCTCAACTCTCATCCCTGGACCGAGGTAGTGGATACTAGCTCCTACTAGCTACGAGAGCTACTAGATGCTACTAGTAACAAAGGGCATCGCTACTAGTAGCAAGGACGCTATTAGTAGCTCCTGGCCTTACTACTAGGAACAAGAAGCTACTAGTAGCAAGGACGCTCCAAAAAAGGAAAACAACAAGATCGTGTCATATCGTGCTTCTCGTTTCTATCATGTCGCTTCTCGCCTCCAACTGGACGAGAAGTGGTTGACTGAGCTTGAGACGAAAACTGCGGCGAGCGAGGAAAGACCATGCGGCTGCGCGTCGGTTGCCGAATCGAAGCAAAGCTGTGGGCTGTGCCGCTCACTCGGACATCGACAAAATTCAAATCCACAGCCGCACATGCCAGTGAGGACGGCTCAGGAGAGAGTAAAGACATCTCCGGGTCCAGGGCGTGTCCCTGGAAAAAGGCTCGGCGTGGGCGTCCTTCTGGGCACCTCTGGGGGCTCACCTGATTTGTTCAATGTTTGATTCAAGAGGTGTTCAACAGGTACATTATGTCCAGAATGTAGTGCATTTATGCACTTGTACCAGTTTGCTAGAAGCTTTTTACAATGTTAGTGGAACTGGTTGAAAAACCGGCCATAGGCCATAGGAAGCCACTGGCAATTAAAGTTCTGCATAGCTGGTGGCGCGATGTGGGTGCTTCCAAGCTTACAAGCAGAACAGCAAAGCAAGCAAATGCTTTATTTGCAGGGTCTAACTGTTTGTCAGCACTTGGGACGGAAAGCGAATGTTCTTCTACGTGTGTGGAGTCATAGAAACTCAGCGTTTCAGGATGTAGAAACTATCGCTCATTACTCAGGTATTGTTTTTCGTGTCTCTCTAAGCTGCTCCAGATGATAAATGCCAGCTTCTAGTAGCGATGGGAGCCCCTAGTAGCGTCCGATCGCTCCGTTCGTAGCTTCAAAAAATGGAATGTCTCGAAAGCACCTCGGCGATACGCTTCCGGCCGTCCTCCCGTGACCTCAACGGCCCAAAAGGCGCCGCTTCAAAGCGACCGAGCTGTCAGGCTCGGCTCCTCTCCATCTGGGCCTTCTCTTAGCCTCCAACCTAGTAGCGTCCTTGTTACTACTAGTAAGGCACTTGTTACTAGAAGCGATGCACTTGTTCCTAGTAGCTTCTTGCTACTAGTAATGCCAGGAGCTACTAATAGCGTTCTTGCTACTAGTCGCGACGCCCTTTGTTACTAGTTACTAGTAGCGATGGCCTCCAACCTAGTGCTCTCCATCCGAGTCTTCTCTTAGATTGTGTTTTTTGGAGTCTCGCCGCCCTAGGCCAGGTTATTCAAAATGGACTGCTGGAAAGAAGTTGCCTACGGCAAGTGCCTACGACAAACCGTGTCAAAATTCCTACGGGGACTCTACGCCCACAAGCAGAATACAAACGAGCCTATGCCAATGTTTGTATAAATCCCTTCACCGCAAACAACAAAAACTCTGCTCTGAGGATCTGGCTGTAGAAGCAGCCAAAACAACCTTTGAGGTCTTCAGGTCTTTCACCAAGAGGGGTTGATAGCTGTTCAGTTCAGCTCGCACATTCCTCTTCTGACTCCATGTGTAGACAGTCGATAGACATATCATGTGGAGGAAAAGATGGACGAACAATCTTAGTCTTCCCGTCTTCCCGACAATAGCTGTCCCACCCCACACCTCTGCGCAAGAGAAGCGTTGGGCCCGCACGCCTCATGTTAAAGCTTTGAGGAAACAGCAAAACATAGCAAAAACAGTAGAAAGAAGCTACTAGTAACAAGTGCATCGCTTCTAGTAACAACTGCCTTACTAGTAGTAACAAGAACGCAATAGTTTTGTTGTTTGCATTTTGGTTGGACGTATTGGGTCCCCACTTTGGACCTCGCATGGTCGCATCTGTACACTCTAGCCCACACCCTCCCATAATACAAGCAATTCTAGCTTTTCGATGATACTGGTTTAATCGAAAGACTCTTGAATAAGTATCTCATTGAATGCATTCATTATGAGTTTCCAATTTATAATTTAACACATGATCTTATTCCAAATCCTCAAGTGTTTTCACAAAGCCTCGGTGGCGTCCAGCTCGGCAGCCAGCACCTGGAAAGAGAGAGAGAGAGAGAGAAGTTCTTAGTTCTTTGGGTAACATCAGCATTTGCTTTGCATCGTGTTTTACGTTTTAATAAACACTAGATCCAAATTCAATTAATTTGCAATTCCAAATGGATGCTAAGTCTTCTTCTGCTTCTTCTTCTTCTGCTCTCTCTCTCTCTCTCTGGCTGACCCTTTTGAACATGCGAAGGCAAACGGCCAAGGCCAGTCATGCATTTGAGGAGTTTTTCGCTTCAGCTGAGCAGCCGCGGCTGTTTGAAGGTCGTTGCGGGCCGACCTTGAGACAAGTGACAGAAATTGTCTCCCACAGGGTTGGTGTTCAAAACATTACATAATCCGAAGAGCCTCTGTCCAACATGTTTGTGAGAGAATTGGGACTGTTGGCACTTACGGCCGGCTTGTCATCCTAAACCCCTTTGTGCTTTGTGCATCAAATATGAGATCAGTTCCTGATACCTTGACTATCCTGAACTTGTGTTCCTGGAGCCGCTGATAAAGGGGATAAACGATGATAAACGTCAACGGAATAGAAGCAAAGGGCCCGCTCCTTTCTCAGGGAAAAAAGTCTTCACGTTCAAGAAGCGACCTTTGAGAAGTTTCATGTAGTGGGCTCTCAATGGCTCTCATGAGCTACCTGAGAGCCTTTGTCAAACTGAATCCCTATTGGCCGCTCCATCAATCCCCCAGTCGGAATTAAAACGTTCAGCTCTCGCTCAGTTCGAGGCTCGGCTCGAGACTCCACCGGCTCTGTTAAGGCAGCTCCCGTGCTGCTGCCCTGGGCCGAAACAAAAACTAACCAGAAAGCTATGGCCTCCGGCCTGCCGGCGGTGGCCTCCAACTTAGCAGCCATGGCCTCCAACCTACTAGCCATGGCCGCCAACCTATAGTAGCGATGGCCTCCAACCTACTATAGCCATGGCCTCCAGCCTAGTAGCGATGGCTTCCAACCTACTAGCCATGGCCGCCAACCTATAGTAGCGATGGCCTCCAACCTAGTAGCGATGGCCTCCAACCTACTATAGCCATGGCCTCCAACCTAGTAGCGATGGCTTCCAAGCTTCCAA